AGAGCAATTCGCTTGTTGTAGGAAGCAGTCCATTTAATAAACAAGACATAGTTCAGTAACTTTCTATTTATTTCAAACCAACCTACATTGACATAGATATTTACAAAACATGAAGGTCATAGCTAAATGAAATTAATGCAAAATAAAAAAAAAATACATCAACATAAGAAAAATGGGTCACGAAGAAATAGATACAGATACAAGAATATCTAGAAACATATCACAACATCAGAAAAAAGAAGTTCACAATGAAAAAACGAATTCATAGATGAAAATTCATAGCATTTACATTGAAAATTATCATTGTAATTATTTATTTTTGTCTATAAAACTATTAATAAAATGTGGAAAAGAACATTAGGTTAGTACATTCCTAACCCAATGTAAAAGGCAAGAGTTATATGTGTCCAGATATTAATCCAGTTTACGAGCCTTCAAATAAGTACAGATGTTCTTGTCCTCTGCAGGTTCTGTAGTCCTTGTTCCTGGATCTTATCTTTCCACAAGTGAAAATTGCTACAGAATAAGCCAATGAGTCTTCATCTGTCTGAGGAAACAGAAAAATGGTGAGACTTAGTTACACAGGCAGACTTTAAAACATACGGAAAGCTTGCTCCTGATGTTTTTCACAGTTACCTGTGGAATTTCCTGATCTCCTTTTGCTGTTACATTTGCCTGGAAAGCAACTGCATCTGTATTGATAGATAAATTCACAACACTGATGTGAGTCCGATTTTGTTGAATGTTGTTTGGAATAATGATGTAGCGGTGTGCGGATGATACTGAAAAATCGATTCCTCCGAAACTAGATGTTTAATGTTCTGGAATTAATTCTCATATTAAAATTTGTGCTGTTAGCTTTAATGACGTTAAAGCCATAACCACATTAACACAGCAAATCTTCATTAGCGAGTTAATGTGGATCTTTTCATCCGTCCATCCATCCATTCTCTTCCGCTTGTCCTATCCCAGCTGTCATAGAGCAACAGATTTTTAAATTTCTTGTATGATAACTCTTCATAATTAAACAATAAAAACAAGTAGCCAGATGTTTTCTATTCATTATGAAGGTATATATTGAAATACACTACTTTTGATTTGGCAAACACGTTATTTTTTATACAAAGTATCGGTATTGGATCAGTATTGTTGGTACCACTTGGTGTCAGATCAAGAAGGAAATCAGTGGTACTGCACATCACTAGAATGATTTTCTTACCATGAACAATACTTACCTTTACATTGTTCACATGCTGCTCTTGGAGTTCGGCAACAGATGCAAACAATATTAAGAATCACAGAAATAAACAAGCAGGTTATTGCTATAACCAGCACAGTAAATTCAGAACCTGCCTTTTGCTCTAGAAAAAAAGGAAAGAAATGATTAATGATT